AGTATGATTGGTCCACAGGAGCCACCCAATCCAGCTCCAGGTGGAAGTGAATCCACAACCTGATTGGCCTACAGGAGAATCCCGGAAATAGCCAATCACGTGGGGCCCATTGTGTAAACAATGTATATAAAGCAGACATCCTGGGGGAACTTCCATTCCTCCTCACCACTATGAGCTGAATAAAGAGCATGAAATCCACTCTCAACTCCGAGTATATTTCAGTATATTTTTAACTCTGCTAAACTAGACACTAACCTTATTCAAGTGAGCAAGAGGAGGATAATTAATAAATAACGTATCCTCTCCTGCCTTCCAAATCCATCCCAAGAAAACCGGGTGGAACAAGTGAGGGGTGGAACCCGGGTAGGGGGCATAGCCCAGTGAGAGCCCTGAGGGTTAGGCAGAGACGCCTGGTGGGCTGCTTTTAGACCCTGGGCCTGAGGTCCCCCACCCCACCCCATGTTCACCTCCAGAAATCTTCAGGCCAAACCATATCAGACAGAAATGCTGGATCAAACTTCTTCCTGGAACCTTGCAGGAGCTGTACTAAGCTAAGAAACTGTCAGAGGGAGACATCAAGGCCAAAGGGGTCAATTATTAAGGATATAATAGATTTAATCTGGAACCATATGGTTCCTAGGAGGGCAGGCCAAGGATCACCTGAGACTTTGGGTGTCCCTCTCTGATGCCTTGGCAACCTGTTAGGCTGGGGCAGAACTTGCCAGTGTCCAGTTACCATCTCAATCTGTGGTTCTCAAACATCCAGGGAATCTTGTCTACCTTGATTTGTCTGCTGAGGAACCGCTACACATCAGCTACAGAACTCATGTGTCTACAAGGCATGCCTATTCAACATCCATTTCAGCTCTCGTTATCACTGACTGTAATGTTTGCAGTTCATTGCCACCCAACTCCCACCTTATGAGTTTTCTTCTTTATAGGCCTGCCAGTTGTGCATCTGGCAAAGTTTGCTCGTGGCCACAGAAGGTTATGCCATAATGAATCTGATAGGAGTGTATTCTACGCCGCACTAAGCAAGATTGTTCCATCAGCGAAAGGATTTCTCCTGGCGCAATGATGTCCACATCTCCTCCCTCCATCATGCCCTTTAAATATGCTGTGGGTGACACTTCTGGACTAGGGCGCTCAGCGATGGGTTGTAGTCTGTGCTCCTGTTATCAAGAGAGAGACGAAGTTGCAGGGCGAGAGATTAAAGGGAGAGCAACTAAAGGCGAAGGTGCCCCTACGCCCAAGTGGAGAGCTTGGGTGGCAAAATTCCAGGCTGCAAAACAAGGGGTTTGCCCTCCTCATTTTGGACACAAAACATAAGAACAGAACAAAGAGTGAAGGGGTGAACCTCAGCGCTCTGGGAAAAAATCACTCTTGCTTGCAAGCGCCTTGAAACCTGAGCGACCAGCGCTGGTCTACTCCGCAAAGATAAATGTTATGTACTGAAGTTCTCACCCTGGGCCAGCAGGGGGATACTGTAGATAGTTATGCAAATAAGGGATTGAAAGTGACGTTCAGTGATTGGATAGTTACAGAAAATGGTTACTGTTGCGTTGTAGTGGAGCTCTATATAAGCAGGCTGACTGAACCCTTCAGTTCAGTTCTGTTCTGGCCTGTGAATAAACAAGAGCTGTTTGAAGAATCGCTGTGTCGTCTGATATGTTCACCCTCAACTTAACAATAAAGAATTAAAAACACTGACTTTATCCCTGGAGCAAGTAAAAAAAGCCAAGGATGTATGTAAAGGGGAAAGCAGCTACCACGAAAAATCATCAAAAAATGTGAGGGACGGTGAAGGGGCTCTACCTCAAGGCAATTCTTAAACTGTAAACTATACTGTGAAAATAAGTCTGAAAGAAATCCAAATTGCACTCCAAGTGAAAATTAATTTAATCTACTTTAACCAGAATATAAAAAAGAACAAGTGTAAAAGAGGGGGAAGGGCGAGAAAGCTGTCTCAGTTTTGGGGATGGTGGGGGGGGCATGTGAGGAGGGGGGAAATCCCCTTGTGACAAGACTAATCCTTGCAGTACTGCAAAACATGTGGTTAAAGTCTTCAAGGTGCAACGAGACTCTGTTGTTTTTACACGACACAACTTTGGCATGCAACGGTGATTGGTCACTGTGAATGAGCGGGTGCTTGGTGTATACAAGTCATCCTCTCTCCTTTTTTAAAGAAAAAAACATTTTTATTGAAGGCACCATTAACCCCCACATGATTGCTGGGAGTAAAGCAACTTGCAGGAAGACACTTGAGCCAGTGGGAGGGGAGACAGACAAAAAGGCAACTCTTCTTTCCTTGCTGACACCTTCTTGAGTAACTTACCTGCAGATTGTTTTTCTCATAGGCTTTACTTCCTTCCTGCTTCATGTTAGCATTGGACCTGTTTCATCTTAGCACTGAACTCCATCATGGCCACATACAATAGCTTGGTACTCATAACGGCTTTGGGATGCGGGTGGCGCTGTGGGTTAAACCACAGAGCCTAGGACTTGCCGATCAGAAGGTCGGCGGTTCGAATCCCCGCAACGGGGTGAGCTCCCGTTGCTCGGTCCCTGCTCCTGCCCACCTAGCAGTTCGAAAGCACATCAAAGTGCAAGTAGATAAATAGGTACCACTCCAGCAGGAAGGTAAACGGTGTTTGCGTGCGCTGCTCTGGTTTGCCAGAAATGGCTTAGTCATGCTGGCCACATGACCCTGAAGCTGTACGCCGGCTCCCTTGGCCAATAAAGCAAGATGAGCGCCGCAACCCCAGAGTCGGCCACGACTGGACCTAACGGTCAGGGGTCCCTTTACTGCTACCAGGAGTAAGAAATCTTATCTTTCCTTAGTTCTTTCAGCCAGCAGTTTTAGCAGACTATTTATTTCAGCTCTCCAGCTTGCCATATATACCAAACTCCAACAACGATGACCCATGCACAAATTTTTCCACAGGTAAGCTATCTGCGCTCATTTAGCAAAATAAGGCGAGCGGGGGAAATCCCCACGACCTTCTGAAGGCTGCTCTTTCCAATTGCATTTAAATGATTTGTGGAAAACATTAAATAAGGCACCTACGGCAGCCTGAAGGCACTGGGTTGTCCTAGGCAGTTCTCGGTTGCTTTGTAGCTGCGTGGAAACTAGAATGAAAAACATTTGAGACATTTAGTTTAGAGAAAGGGCAAGTACTGTACGGGTGGCACGATAGAAATGTTTAAATTACGCAAGGCCTGGAGAGATTGCAGCCATTTCCAAGTGTCCTTATTTTCCAGGGACAGCCCTGGATTTACAGAAACCCATCCCGGTTTCTGATCCTGGAATGCCCCGCTTTTCCTTAGGGCGTCCCTATTTTCATCAGAGAAATGTTGGAGGGTATGAGAATGGGTAGAGAAAAGCGTTTCTCCCCCTCTCATAACCAGAACTTGTGCAATTCCAAGGACGCTGAAAGTTGGAAGAGTCAGGGCAGATTTTTAAAAGCCCATTGAGTCCAGCGTCCTGTTCTCAACATGGCCAACCAGATACCCATGGAAAACATGTGCAAGCAGGGCCCAAGAACACACTCTCCATGGTTTCTGGCAACTAGTATTCAGAACTGTGGAGGCAGAAGACAGCCATTGTGCTAGAAGAAGAAGAGTTTGGATTTGATATCCCGCTTTATCACTCCCCTAAGAAGTCTCAAAGCGGCAAACATTCTCCTTTCCCTTCCTCCCCCACAACAAACACTCTGTGAGGTGAGTGGGGCTGAGAGACTTCAGAGAAGTGTGACTGGCCCAAGGTCACCCAGCAGCTGCATGTGGAGGAGCGGAGACGCGAACCCGGTTCATCAGATTACAAGTCTACCGCTCTTAACCACTACACCACACTGGCTCCCATTGATATTTATCTAATCCCCTTTTAAAACCAACAAAGTCGGTAGCCATCACGACACACAGCCGGCATGAATTCCATAGCTTAACTATTTGATTGCTATCATGCGTTATTACATCTCCATCCCACCTTTCTTCCAAGCCCTAACCTATAAAGCCCTAAATGGCCTCGGTCCAGTATAGCTGAAGGAGCGTCTCCACCTCCATCGTTCTGCCCGGACACTGAGGTCCAGCACCAAGGGCCTTCTGGCGGTTCCCTCGCTGCGAGAAGCCAAGTTACAGGGGACCAGGCAGAGGGCCTTCTTGGTGGTGGCACCCGCCCTGTGGAACGCCCTCCCATCAGATGTCAAAGAGGAAAACAACTACCAGACTTTTAGAAGACATCTGGACGCAGCCCTGTTTAGGGAAGCTTTTAATGTTTAACAGACCACTGTATTTTAATATTTTGTTGGAAGCTGCCCAGAGTGGCTGGGGAAACCCAGCCAGATGGGTGGGGTATAAATTATTATTATTATTATTATTATTATTATTATTAGGAGCTCATTGTGGCAAACCTGCTTGGTCTCCCCACATCTTATCCTCACAACAACCCTGTGAGGTAGGTTAGGTTGAAAGACAGTGACTGGCCCAAGGCCACCCAGAGAGCTTCACGGCTGAGGGGGGATTTGAACCCTGGCGTCCCAGGTCCTAGTCCAACACTCTAACCACTGCACCACACTGCCTGCAGTCTCTCCAGGCCTGCAGGCGCTGTGTGATGAAGCACTTTCTTTTATCTGTCCTGAATCTTCCAAGAGTCATATTCGTTGTGATAGGAGAAAGGGGGAGAAAAACACTTTCTGGACCCACTTTATGATTTTATACATTTCTATTGTGATGCTTCTCACTCACCTTTTCTCTAAACCAAAAAACAAACGAACAGCAAATGCTATAACCTTTCCTCATAGGGGAGCTGGCCATCCCATTTATCATTTCCATTACCATTTTCTGAACCTTCCTCAACTTTACGATATCCTTTCGGAGGTTGTTCAATGAGCAGTTTAGAATTTCCTGCATTGCAGGGGGTTGGACTAGATGACCGCTGGGGTCCCTTCCAACTCGACAGCTCTGGGATCCTACATCTTAAAACAACAGCGAGAACAACTGGGTGAAGAGGGAACTAGATCTGCATTCAGGATATACACGCAGCTCTTTCCAGACTCTGGCTATAGCCATTTACAAGCAAGAAAATTCGGTTGTGTGGTACTCAATTTAGAAAAAATAAAATAAAATCCCAGATGCCCAAGGGTAAAATGACAATACATTTTGATGGCTCTCTAGTTGGATAATGCTCAATATATAAGACAAAATACAGTAAATGTCAGTTTGATACCACATCATTTCCCTCCTCCTAAAGAAATGAGGCTCTTTTCTAAACGGGGAATATTCATAAAAAAGTAGATTAAAACAGGATCTCTAATGTTGCATCAATATCTTAACCACAGTCAACTCTGAAAGAGTTATTTGCCTGCCTGATTTAGCTTTTGAGGCTCGGTCGTGATTGAATATTCAAATCAATTCATTCGTTGTTGCTGAAGGCTACAAATTACTGAATCTAGAGATTCTCTCAGTTCTGCTGCAGGATCCTTGGAGATCTTTTCACGGTTTTCCCCGGATCCTGACACCGCAGCTGCTTTACTTTATCAGCTAGCTTTGCCTGAGGAAAAGTGACTATGATATGGACCAGCTGCTTGTATCTACAGCTCTGTAGCGGTTAGAAAAAAGCAGGTAAGATATGAGAAGGCGCAAACTTCGGAGGAATCACAGACGGGGAAGATCTCCCATTGAAGATGCCTCCTTCCCGGTTCATGTCCTTCGATCTTTTGTGCAGGTGTGGAATTATGGGATGGGAAGACTCTGGCCAAACACCAGCCCATCCCCATTCCAATATTCCGGTCGTCGTCATACAACTCGACAGCAGCTGCTGCACTCAGAGCATGGTTTCTTCTTCTTCTTGGGATTGAATATGGTGAGTATTGCTTCGTCAAAGACGGCCTTCAGGCCTTTCTGAGTCAAGGCTGAGCACTCCAGGTAGCACTGGGCGCCGATCTAGAACGAATAAAAAATAGAGAGACAAACAGGCCTGAGCGACGGTGGCAAGAAAATAACCTCTGGGTCATAACCCCCCCCGAAACATTTTTACTCGGTATTATAGGTGAGGACATTAATAGACAAGACGTTAAATTATTTTTATATGCAACAACACCGGCAAGAGTATTGTTAGCCCAGAAATGGAAGCAAGAAGAAATTCCGACGAAAGAAGAACGGCAGACGAAATTAATGGACTACGCAGAATTGGATAATATGACAGGAAGGATTCGAAACCTGCGGGACCAGAGATTTACAGAAGATTGGAAGAAATATATGAGCTATTTGAAGAGCAATTGTAATCAACAAATTGCGCTAGTAGGACTGCAAGAAGTTTTGCAAGGAGAAATATATGAAATATTGCAAAGCAGAGAAAGAATAGAGATATTAGTTATGAAATTTAAATATAATAGTGAAAGTAAGAAATGTGAATTAAGTGAACAGATTGGAAAATTTTCAGATGTGATTGATGGAAGTGAAAAAATTGTATAAGATATAAAAGTATGTTTAATTATTGTTGAAAATGCTGTGTTAAAAAATTAATTAAAAATTATATTAAAAAAAGAAAAAAAGAAAATAAACTCTGGGTCAGGGGTAAGCAACCTAAGGCCCTGGGCCGGATGTGGCCCAATTGACTTGTCAATCCGGCCCACGGACGGTCTGGGAATCAGCGTGTTTTTACATGAGTAGCATGCGTGCTTTTATTTAAAATGCATCTCTGGGTTATTTGTGGGGCATAGGGGCATAGGTTCATTACCCCCCCCCCAAAAAAAATAGTCTGGCCCACCACATGGTCTGAGGGATGGTGGACCGGCCCATGGCTGAAAAAGGGTGCTGACCCCTGCTCTGGGTATTGAAAGGTAGAGTGCCCCCAGGCAAGGAGGTTCCATTTGACTATCTTGGCCGAAAGAAGAGTCCTCTGTCTTCCTCCAAGAATTTGTCTAAATCTATCTAAGATGTTTTACTGTTGTTTTATGATTTGCTGGAAGTCTCCCAGAGTGGCTGGGGCAACCCTGTTAGATGGGCAGCATATAATTCTATCTATCTATCTATCTATCTATCTATCTATCTATCTATCTATCTATCTATCATCTATCTATCATCTATCTATCTCTATCTATCTATCATCTATCTATCTATCTATCTATCTATCTATCTATCATCTATCTATCTATCTATCATCTATCTATCTATCTATCTATCTATCTATCTATCTATCTATCATCTATCTATCATCTATCTCTATCTATCTATCTATCTATCTATCTATCTATCTATCTATCTATCTATCTATCTATCATCTATCTATCTATCTATCTATCTATCATCTATCTATCATCTATCTAATCTATCTATCCTTTAGTTTGCATCCTAGCCCAACATCCTGTATCCCATGGCTGCTAAACTAGGTGCCTCTAGGAGTAGCTTCCAAGCAGAGCATGAAGACAAATATCTATATTCTGCCATTGCTCCCCAGCAATGGGTATTCACAGGTAGACTATCCATCAACATGGAGGTTCTATTTGACCTAAAGCCATCAAACATCCTTTTCCCTTTTCCGTGGACTTCTCATACGGACAGAGTAGAAGTAAAATCTGCATGTATAGGCACTTATGAAGAACTTGTATTGTAACGATAGTCTTTTCTAGGTTTTTAGATGGCTCTGTTTTATCTGTGTGAGCTGCCTTGAGTCCTGGACTGGGGAAAAAACTGTATTTTTCGCTCCATAAGACACACTTTTTTCCTCCTAAAAAGTAAGGGGAAATGTCTGTGCATCTTATGAAGCGAATGCTGTGTGGAGGAGGGACGTGTAAGCGGCTCCTGTCCGCTTTGCTGCTTTAAAGAGAGCCGCGGAGGACAGACGGACGGGAGCCATGGCTCCCCTTCATTCAGAATATTCCCCCCCCATGTTTTCCTCCTCTAAAAACTAGGTGTGTCTTATGGTCAGGTGCGTCTTATGGAGTGAAAAATACGGAAAATACATACATACTGTATATACAACAACAACAACGAGCCTGGCTTAGTTTACAAGGAAGTTGCAGGGCCCAAATCAGGTGTAGGTCTAGTTTGCCTGATCAAATCCTGGCTCAATCAGTCAAGATATGCATGATTTTCATGCCCTTGCATGCGGCGTCTTGGCTCTTGGGTTTAATGGGAGCAACAGTACCTCTTTAGCCAGTTTGATGCCGTGTTCGTAAGACAGGGGCTTCTCCTTCATGTAGAGCAACCGAGTCAAAGTTTTTGGATCATCTCGTAGGTCAATCTAGGAGTTTAAAGCAGACGTAAAGTTTAAGGCTTGTTCAAAAAAGAAAAGAAAAAAGGGCTATCTAAGATCTCCAACTGTTGGAGATGCAATAGAGATAATGCTTCTCTGAAAAAGTGTTTTTTCATTGTCCTAGATTGAAAGATGTTTTGGCAGAAGATAACTGAAACTATCAACAGAACTGTATGGAGCAACCTTACATTTACAGAGCAAAATATCCTCTTGAATTATATACCCAGCACATGGAACCTGACAAAAGGACAATAGGAGTGGACTCTCTGTGCCCTTACCATGGCAAAAAGAATGATATTGATGAATTGGAATAATAAAAATGCGGCTCCTACGAGTGCATTGAAGACTTATGCAGTGGTACCTCAGGTTACATACGCTTCAGGTTACAGACTTCGCTAACCCAGAAATAGTACCTCGGGTTAAGCACTTAGCTTCAGGATGAGAACAGAAATCGCGTGCCGGCAGCGGGAGGCCCCATTAGCTAAAGTGGCGCTTCAGGTTAAGAAAAGTTTCAGGTTAAGAACAGACCTCCGGAACGAATTAAGTTCTTAACCCGAGGTACCACTGTACATACAAGCTCGCAACATATGAACAACTTGCATATAAATGCAGACTTGCTATGGACAAATTCAATGATATTTGGAATCCATTCTTACAAATACTGCAATAGGTTCAGATCTGGTGAAGTACAATTAACAACCTTGTAAAATATACAGCTTTGGCCCCCCCCTTCCCCTCTTTGTTTTCCCTTCTGCCCGGGTTCTGTTTCTTTTTTTTATTTTCTCTTTTCTGTTTGCGTCTCTTGGCACACATATAGTTATGTATTTTTGAACTTTCAGTAAAGATGTTAGTCGTCCCCCCCCCAAAAAAAAGGCTTGTTCACAGCTATGGCATCCCTCACTGAGCAGGAACCTTCTGCCTAGGTCCTATCTGTCTGTCCATCATCACACTATTTGAGCGTTGTAATGGTCACAAAGTGAGACTATCATGTGGCAGCTGCAATTGTAGAATCAGAGAGCTGAAGAAAAATAATAATAATAATAATAATAATAATAATAATAATAATAATAATAATAATTTGGAGTTGATATCCTGCTTTATCACTACCCGAAGGAGTCTCAAAGTGGCTAACATTCTCCTTTCCCTTCCTCCCCCACAACAAACACTCTGTGAGGTGAGTGAGGCTGAGAGACTTCAGAGAAGTATGACTAGCCCATAGCTGTCAACCATCCCTTATTTGGCAGGAAACGTGTCCCGCTGCTGTCCCTTATTGATGATGTCCCTTAAATTTCCCGGGTTTCAAAGGAAGCAGCTCCTCTCTCTCCCTCCCTGCCGGCCAGGGAGGAGGGAGGCTCCAACTGTGTTGCTTGGCTGCGTTGCTCACCCAGTAAGGAGTCTAAGAACGACTGGGGGGTGGAGCTTGCATGCCTTGGGCCAATCAAATCAGCCACGTTGCCTGGGGACTCGCCTTTGCTCAGCGCTTCCCAGTGGAGAGGTGACGGTGGTTTTCCTTGCTGCATCCCCTTTGCCGGGTTGCTGCGCTGTGAGAACCAACGCTTGAGGCTTCGTTTGGCTGCTGGCTGGGCTTTCTGCCTTTGGCTCAGAGGAGCTCAGAAGTTGAACATACCTGTGTCCGAAAAATCACTTACCTTGGCTGCTGATCCCTTATTTTTGAGGCTGCTGGTCCCTTATTTTTGAGGCTGCTGGTCCCTTATTTTCAAATTTGTAAGTTGATAGCTATGGACTAGCCCAAGGTCACCCAGCAGCTGCATGTGGAGGAGCAGGGAAGCGAACCCGGTTCACCAGATTACGAGTCCACCGCTCTTAACCACTACACCACACTGGTTCTAGTCCATCCCCCTGCAATGCAGGAATCTTTTGCCCAAGATGGGATTCGAACCGACGACCCTGGGATTAAGAGTCTCATGCTCTACCGACTGAGCTTTTCCAGTTGGCCGAGTTAGTGTGAACACGCCCGAGACCAGACTCCCCAGCCATCCTTTACCTGTGTTCCTATCAGAACATAAGGCACATGGGGCATGCAGACTTTCAGTTCCGGCACCCATTCCTCCTGGACATTGTGGTACGAGGCAGGGTTCACCACGGAGAAACAGATCAAAAACACGTCCGTGTTTGGGTAAGAGAGAGGCCTGAGCTGGTTGTAGTCCTCCTGCCAGACAGCAAAAGAATTGAAATTGAAATGACAGCAGTGAAATGGTTATTTGGAACAGCAAACTTAGACGACCTTTCTGATTCCTCCCAATTCTTTGATTCGAAGCATCCACACAACCGTTTTTGCACGTGATAAAGTCAAAATTTATTGAGTTGCCTAGGTGTTTTCTCATTAGCTTTCAGGGCCAGGAGCAGGCAGTTCACTAAACATCAAGAAGAAGTTTCTGACGGCAAGAGCTGTTTGAAATAAATACTACTTTGGGGCAGTGCTATTTTTCTAATCTGGAACTCGCCATGAATGCCTCCCTTGTTCTCTTAGAAAAAGCCCTGCTTTGGGGGGGAAATGTAAAATTCTCAGGCGGTGAGATTATTTTAAACCATATGCCAACCGTGGGGTTTGACTGTCTGCCAAAAGACTGATATTGATTCATTGGAAAGATAACCATGGCCCGCTTTGAGCGATGGATAGAAAATATGACAGTGCTGGCAATGTACAAATTAGTAATTTTTCATTCGTTGTAATAACTGTATTACTTATATACCTGTATTCCATATTGTATCACAATTTCAAGTATTTTTCTTTAATTTTTCTTTTTATTTTGTTCTTTTCCTTTTCCTTTATTTTCTCATGAAAATTTTTAAATAAATTATTATTATTATTATTATTATTATTATTATTATTATTATTATTATTATTAACGTAAGTTGGATGGCCATCTGTCAGGGATTCTTTACCGTACACTTTTTGATGTGGCGAACTGCAAAACAGATAGCTTAGAGTGGCCACGAGATGGCACTAGATTCTCGCAAGAAGGTTCACAACAAAGCCTTTTGAGCTTCCGAACAATATTTGCTTCGGAGAGGTGAAGCTTGGGGCACCATTAAGAATGTCAGAAAGAGAGCTGGAGACATGGAATGCGACATCAACGCTTGACTCTGAGATAATTGGCTGTCATGACACTAGGTTGGGTAATTCACTTGGACTCTTGTGCCGAGGACAAAATCCCAGGGGAGATGGGGAGGCGAGACAGAGGCCCCTGCTGGCCCTCCAAGTGTCCCTATTTTCCAGGGACAGTCCCAGATTTACCGAAGCTGCCTCGGTTTCTGATTTGATCCTGGAATACCCCGTTTTCCCTTATTTTCATCAGAGATAAGGAATAGAATGTCCCTATTTTCATTGGAGGGACGCGGGTGACGTTGTGGGTTAAACCACAGAGCCTAGGACTTGCCAGTCATAAGGTTGGCGGTTCGAATCCCACGACGGGGTGAGCTACCGTTGCTCGGTCCCTGCTCCTGCCAACCTAGCAGTTTGAAAGCACGTCAAAGTGCAAGTAGATAAATAGGTACTGCTCCGGCAGGAAGATAAACGCCGTTGCCGTGCGCTGCTCTGGTTTGCCAGAAGCTGCTTAGTCATGCTGGCCACATGACCTGGAAGCTGTACACCGGCTCCCTCGGCCAATAAAGCGAGATGAGCACCGCAACCCCAGAGTCAGCTATGACTGGACCTAATGGTCAGGGGTCCTTTACCTTTTTATTTTCATTGGAGAAATGTTGGGACAAGGGTTTTCATGGTAAGCTGCTGGCAGTATTGCAGAATCATTTCCAGAGGTGTGGCCATGCTTAGTTTTTTTGCAGCAAAACCAATATAGGCTTTTGTACTGTGCAATCCTATACACGTCTGCTGAGAAGTAATTCACAAGGCTTATGAATTACAAGGCTTATTCAAGAGTAAGGGGCAAAGGCCCTAGCTCAGTGTTAGGGCATTTGCTTGGCATGTAGAAGGTCCCAGGATCAAACCCTAGCGTCTGCAAGAAGGGCTGGAAAATGCCCCCCTGCCTGAAACTCTGGAAAGCTGCTGCCAGTCAGTGTAGACAATATTGAGCCAGAGGGATCAATGTTCTGACTCAGCACTAGGCAACTTCCTATGTGCATATAGAGTTTCAGCTTCAATGTGACATAAGTTACAGGCATCTGATGAAGCAGACTCTTGTCCATGAAACCTCACGCTAGGTCAGCCATACGTCCGGGATTTCCCAGACATACCTGGAATACTGCAGTCGGCAGCAGTGCGGAAATCGGCATCATGAAAATCCGGACAAATGGCAACCCATGTCAGCAGTGTCGTTTTTGCCATCTTTCCTCAAAAATTTTGCTCAACAACTTTGCCCCCCTACCAAAAAAGCTAAATAACTCTGCCAAAAAAAAATCTCCACAACTTTTGCGACTGGATTATCATTTTTTTGAAATATGGCAGCCCTACTTTATGCTGTAATAAATTTGTTAGTCTTTCTTTTTCTAATATCATTTTAATTTCTTAAATGAATACAGTGGTACCTCGGGTTACATATGCTTCAGGTTACATATGCTTCAGGTTACAGACTCCGCTAACCCAGAAATAGTACCTCGGGTTAAGAACTTTGCTTCAGGATGAGAACAGAAATCGTGCTCTGGCGACGCAGCGGCAACAGGAGGCCCCATTAGCTAAAGTGGTGCTTCAGGTTAAGAACAGTTTCAGGTTAAGAATGGACCTCTGGAACGAATTAAGTACTTAACCCGAGGTACCACTGTATTACATGCACAATACAAACTCTAAATTAGTTAGAACATCATATAATGCAACATAATCCTATGATGTCTTTTATCATCAAATGTATGTTATAATAAATTGGTTAGTCTTCAAAGTGCTGCAAGGCTTTTTGTACCATGTGTCTGCGTGTATGAAGTGACTCTTGTGCAATTCTCCAAAAATGAAAAGCTTACATTTTTGTCTGCCTTAAGGAACAAAGAAGAACCTCAAAATTTTCTTCAGGAGAAGAACAGCGGCATCGAAGATAGACATAACATGCAGAAGTGACACACTGGTCTTGACCTTTAAAGCCCTTTGTGGCTTAGGGGCCTCGTATCTACAGGACCGCCTCTCCTGGTCTGCCCCGCAGAGGACCTTAAGGTCCATGAATAACCATAGTTTAGAAGTCCCGGGCCCTAAGGAAGTCAGACTATCCTCCACCAGGGCCAGGGCCTTTTCAGTGATGGCTCCGACCTGGTGGAATGCTCTGTCCCATGAGACCAGGGCCCTTCAGGATTTAACCTCCTTCCGTCGGGCCTGTAAGACAGAGCTATTCCGCCTGGCCTTTAATTTGAATTCAGCCTGATCTTTTATTTCCCTTCTCTTCCTTCCCCTTCCCCTTTTATGAAGATCACCCGCTCTAAGACCCTACAGCTAATTCTCCCCTGGTCTCCTCACTGGCCCAAGTAGGACCAATTCAGTCAGCAAGCCCTGAGGACTATATAATTGATTTTTGATTTTTGAATGTTATTTTTATTCATGTTTTTATACTGTTATTTTATGCTGCTTTTATAATTAAGCATTTTAAAGTATTTTAAATTTGTTGTTAGCTGCCCTGAGCCCGGTTTTTGAACCGGGAAGGGCGGGGGTATAAATAAAAAAATATTATTATTAGTAGTAGATTACCTGTCCTGCAGTGTCATAAAGTCCAAGCAGATGCTGTCTGCCTCCGACTGTCACAGTCACTATAAAAAAAGAGAGAAAACAGAAATATATTACAGGAGCCTGGTTGGATCAGAATAAGGGCCCATTTGGGCTTTTTTTCCAGTTTGGAGCAGAGGTTCCCAAACCTATTTGTTCTACCACCACCTTTTCAGCGGGGAAAAATGACTCAATGCTCCCCAGAAATCCTGCAAGCTCAGTCCAATCCGCTCGAGGGTCGGGGTCGGTGCCACAGTCCCCCTGCCATTGTCAAAATAGGCAGGCAAGCTGAGACCCACTTCCTGGGCCTGGATTCACCCAAAAGGGTTCACCCAAGCCCAGGAAAACCCATCACCTCCAGCATGGCTGCCAGATCCAGGGGAGGCATTGTATGAATTGTTGTTTTTAAAATTATTCTTTCTTTATGCTTCCACTGCCCCCTTACTTTTATTCAACGCCCTCCCCCAATTGCACCCGAGGCTACTACTGCCCCACTGGATCGTCCCAGCGCCCCCCAGGGGGTGGTATCGCCCACTTTGGGAAACACTGGTTTAGAGAAAAGGTTGGTGTAAGAGCTTGATGTAGAGTAACATTAGACCTATCCCTGCCCATTAGGTAAAGGTAAAGGGACCCCTGACCATTAGGTCCAGTCGTGACTGACTCTGGGGTTGCGGGGCTCATCTTGCTTTATTGGCCGAGGGAGCCGGCGTACAGCTTCCGGGTCATGTGGCCAGCATGACTAAGCCGCTTCTGGCGAACCAGAGCAGCGCACGGAAATGTCGTTTACCTTCCCACCGGAGCAGTACCTGTTTATCTACTTGCACTTTTTGACATGCTTTCAAACTGCCAGGTTGGCAGGAGTAGGGACCGAGCAACGGGAGCTCACCCCCTCATGGGGATTTGAACCGCCAACCTTCTGATCGGCAAGTCCTAGGCTCTGTGGTTTAACCCACAGCGCAGGACCCTAAATTTTGACGCTGGAAGAGACAAGAGAGGGAGACAGGATAAGAAGGGAAGATGACGGATGGATGAAAGGAAGAGTAGCTGCATGGATTTAGGCTTAAATTTGGTTGGGATCCTCGCATGACAATGGACTCGTGTGGTGTTTTGAAGGTGGAAGAAAAGGACCCACCAAACAAAATTAGACATCTGTTGCACTTAGCTCATCATTTGTTATTCTAACTCCAGTGCGGAGATGAACTTCACAGGCTGGTGCTTTCAGGGTAGCAAGAGATCTAAGGAAGCTACGCAGGGTCATGAAGAGACCCCGGCTGGTGGGTACTCATCTCTAAGACCCCAGATCTAGGTTGCGACTCTTCCCTACTGAGGGAGTGTTTGGGTTATGTCTGGGTTTGGTACATTCGACATCCGTTTCCCCCTTCCTCTTCTTTCTTTCCAGTGGAAGATAGTTTGCAATGTCTTGGTCCTTGCGTCAGAACCCACCATCTCGGTGATAGCGATGGGAGTTCGCTTTGGACAAAGCATGGCTATTCTTTTATGTGTTTATGTCTCCCGACACTCATCTATTGAAAATCTTGTTTAGTTTGTGTTATGCCCTTCCTCCCAGGAGTCCGGGGAAGTATAAACAGTCTTCTGAGCAGCCTCCCATTCAGGTGGTGGCCAAGAGCAAGCCTGCTCTGATCCAGAGAAAAATAATTGCTCTTGCTTTACGTTACGTGATTCATCCGGCTAAATCAACATCCCCCCCCCACAAAGGGGCTCCAAGTAGTCCAGTGCATCATGGGAAGAGGGTGGGATTCCATGGAATGAAGGTCAGCGGAGATGGTGGATATACGGATTTATTTCCACATATATACAACCTGAGCCTAAGATAATAATAATAATAATATAATAATATTATCTTTATTGTCATTACCCCCTCTCGGGGACAACGAAATTAATTGACTGCTCCATAAAAACACTAATTAAAACAATTAAAACAACAAGATGGAGGGGCTCACAGCAAGAAAGTATTTGAGGGGACTGGCCCCCCACAAAGTTGATGGGCATTCCCATTCAAATGGTGTGTGTGCACTGCGTCATGTGATCGATTGTGCGAGGCGGGGCTTACCTGGGCCCCCACAATATTTTATTCAAGTTGGTGCCTGTCAGGATCCTGTCAGCGGCTCCCGGCTGGTTGCCCAGGAAAGTATAAAGACAAGGAAAAGTTTCTTACCGTCCTTTTTTATTTCAGTCTTTACACAGAGAGGCTATAGAACCCAGCCTTTTGGATAATGGTATTGTGCGAGTGAATCTCTCCCACTTTCTCATTCATCAATCTCATCGTCTCTCCTACAGGTGCTGCTACATGCCCTCTGTTTTTGAGCTCTTTGCTCTCCTACTTTCAAGGCTCGCTGGGTTCTGGGGGGGGGGTCTGAAATGCCTTCTAAAGACAGTGTGTCCGTCAGCTGTCGCCCCCCCCGGTGCTTCCTCTTCCTCCTCTCCCATGATTTCCCAACTTCCCCCCTCATCTGCATCTGAGCTGTGACTTCCCTCAAACCCCTGTTGTAAATCTAAACTGTAAATCTAAACTCCTCTTCCTCCTCCCTGGAAGGGTCAAGCTGGGAAGGCAGACTCCACCATTCCTCTTTTGCCCAGTCCCTGCCATCACCCCTGGCACAAAGCAAGCATGCCTCTGTCTCTGCAGCTACCAGACTGCTTCTAGCTCAGCTCACAACAACCCTCTATCTCGCTATTTTCCTTCTGCCAACCCAACTTCTTTGGTTATGCTAATCCTGGTGCTTGTTTATGGAGAAAGCTAGAGAGTCTCAGAAATACATCTACTTCTGCTTCATTGACTATGCAAAAGCCTTTGACTGTGTCGACCACAGCAAACTATGGCAAGTTCTTAAAGAAATGGGAGTGCCTGATCACCTCATCTATCTCCTGAGAAATCTCTATGTGGGACAAGAAGCTACAGTTAGAACTGGATATGGAACAACTGATTGGTTCAAAATTGGGAAAGGAGTATGACAAGGCTGTATATTGTCTCCCTGCTTATTTAACTTATATGCAGAATTCACCATGCGAAAGGCTGGGCTGGATGAATCCCAAGCCGGAATTAAGATTGCCGGAAGAAATATCAACAACCTCAGACATGCAGATGACACAACCTTGATGGCAGTAAGTGAGGAGGAATTAAAGAACCTTTTAATGAGGGTGAAAGAGGAGAGCGCAAAATATGGTCTGAAGCTCAACAGCAATAAAACTAAGACCATGGCAACTGGTCCCATCACCTCCTGGCAAATAGAAGGGGAAGAAATGGAGGCAGTGAGAGATTTTACTTTCTGGAGCTCCATGATCACTGCAGATGGTGACAGCAGTCACGAAATTAAAAGATGCCTGTTTTTTGGGAGGAAAGCAATGACAAACCTAGACAGCATCTTAAAAAGCAGAGACATCACTTTGCCAACAAAGGCCCGTATAGTTAAAGCTATGGTTTCCCCAGTAGTGATGTATGGAAGTGAGAGCTGGACCATAAAGAAGGCTGATCGCTGAAGAATTGATGCTTTTGAATTCTGGTGCTGGAGGAGACTCTTGAGAGTCCCATGGACTGCAAGAAGTTCAAACCTATCCATTCTGAAGGAAATCAGTCCTGGAAGGACAGATCGTGAAGCTGAGGCTCCAATACTTTGGCCACCTCATGAGAAGAGAAGACTCCCTGGAAAAGACCCTGATGTTGGGAAAGATGGAGGGCACAAGGAGAAGGGGACGACAGAGGACAAGATGGTTGGACAGTGTTCTCGAAGCTACCAGCATGAGTTTGACCAAACTGCGGGAGGCAGTGGAAGACAGGAGTGCCTGGCGTGTTCTGGTTCATGGGGTCACGAAGAGTTGGACACGACTAAACGACTAAACAACAACAATCCTGGTGCTTAACTAGCCAGCCACAATCGTTGCCTAAACAAAGGGACTGGTTGGGCAAGCTTGCTCTCCTATCTTCTAACCTGCCCTCCCCCCACCAATACAGGAACCCAAGAATCAGACAGGGCTCAAAGCATTGTGCAGAATGATCCTTCTCCCAACAAAACATGGTGCCCATCATAAAGTCAGGGGTTTTGCTGGCAAACGGATAAAATGCACTGAGAACTTTGAACCATTGCAGCATAACGAGGTCCGAATTCTGCGCTGCATCCATCTCACTTTAAAGCTGCGTCAATAACAGCCGGAGGAAGGCAGGCAGATTGACAGCTCAGCAGGTTTCCTGTCTAATGAAGCTATCTGGAAGTTTGCCTGGAAGTCGGTGGAGAACTAGTCCACTCTCCTTCCATGCAAAAATAATAACTGTGATGGATTAGGCTTGATCTCTCTGTTCATCTACCTGTGGCATGAGCTACCAGGTGCTGATTTCTTTTTGTCCGACTAATCTCATTTATCATTTAACACCACTCCTCCCCTCCCGGGTGTAATTTATTATTAAAAGTCCATTTCACTTGTTTCCTGGGGGCGCCCACTGTAGAATGATATGGTATTGCTGGATCCCACCCATGTAGTTTTGGAGGCTCTGGGTGAGACGCGAAAGCATCTGGCAAGGCAATGTAACAGAGCAGCTGGGAGGACGGATTGATCATTTTCATATCTGCCACTACCTCTGGCCTGCCAGGAAATCCAGTTGCTATCGACAGCTCCACGGCTATTTATTAAGTCAAGGGCCAACGCAAGTAGGTCCTGATAAAGATGCACAAAAGTCCCCGGCAGACAGTTAATGAACAGCCTTTTCCCTCGGGGGACGATTCTTCCAAACCCTTATCTGCCGGAGTTTGACAAGCTGGTAATAGGAATTCAATGTACAACAAATCTGTCCTTTAAGCAGCGAGGGGAGGCGAAGTCAGGAAGATAAATAGAACAAGAGCGCTCTGACAACCTCTCTTGTACAAGGTGGGAGCTGAATATGGCCTGGTGAAAACACGGAGGACGGCGCTGATTGACAGGGTTAGATTTATATTCCCATATCTTTGCAGAACGCCGCCTAAGCTGCGTTTCAAAGAGCCGCTTCATCACTCTGGCAAGCTGTTGCTTACATGGGCCTCTCTGAAGTGGGAAG